AATATCTTTTGAAAGTCTATTATACGTATAAATGAAAAGTATAAATTTTACAATTAACTTTTTTCGGATACCTCGCTTGCGTTGTTATTCAAAATTTGATTCAATTTCTACTACGTTCTTTGCTAATTCTGAAATTACAAAATTTACTTTTTCTAATTTAAGAAAAGTAAAAATGTCAACTGGAATTCCTTCAAATCCTGTAGAATTATGGAATCAAATACCGAAATGGAAAAGTTTCGGTTAGCAGTTAATCAAAAATATAATCTTAATTTAGGTATTTATCTATTATATATATATATACATATATATATTAAATATTTGTCTAAATTGATAATTTTATTATAATTCATTAGAAAATTATCATCAACTTTGGAAATGGTCTACTGACAACATTTCGGATTTTTGGGCTACAGTTTGGGATTATGTCAAAATCATACATTCAGCTCCTTACGAACAGGTACCTATTATTTCACCGACTTGTTAATTATATTCAAGCTATATACACATATATTTTAAATACTGTATGTAGGTCGTAGATTCTAAGCCAATGAATCAAATACCTGCTTGGTTTTCCGGTGCAAAACTTAATTTTGCCCAGAACTTATTGCAATGTCGTGATGAAAATAAAACTGCTATTATTTCAGTTGGTTTGTTGATTTTTTTTTTATAATTCGATAAATAATCATTTAATTTATCTTCATCTTCATCTGTATTTATGATTTTTTTTTTTTTAAGGTGAAGGCAGAATTCCGAAAAAAATTAGTTATTGTGATTTATATGATCAAGTTAGAAGTATGGCTGCTGCAATGCGAAAGGTTGGTGTTAAAAAGAATGATCGAATTAGTGCTTATATTTCGAACTGCCCTGAAGCTGTGATTGCAATGCTTGCCTCTGCTAGTATTTGCGCAATTTGGAGTAGTGCTTCTCCTGATTTTGGTGTTTCAGGTGTTCTTGATAGATTTTCTCAGATCCGTCCAAAATTTTTATTTTCTACAAATTCTGTTGTATATAACGGAAACAACATTGATATCTTGCCAAAACTTAAAATCATTGTTGGAAAGAGGGTTTAGAAAAGGTGATTGTCGTTCCTTTTAACGATTCAGCTTCTTTTGATCTATCTTCAATTTCTTTAGCAACATCCTGGAATGATTTTTTGAGCAATTACTCTGTTATAATTTCTAATTCTGATGAAATAGATTTTGAACAATTACCATTTGATCATCCTCTTTATATTCTTTTTTCTTCTGGAACGACTGGAAAACCTAAATGTTTGGT